ATCTGTGAGGCTTTGCATAAAAACGAGATGATTCTGAGAATTATTTATTTCTGCATTAACTTATTTAATAAACTAGTACCCTGGAAATGAATGCACTGTAAAAAAAATACTTTTTCAACTTTTTTGAAGTTGTTAATAAAACAAAGATTATTGAACCATATTACAATAACATATTATATCAGTCTTTCTACTTCAAAATGCCATTGTTAATTTAATGTGTTACTTGTCATTTCTTTGCAATTGTTTGTGAAATTTCTGAGGGAAAATTGTTTCAAAGTGAGTTATACACAGTTTTTTTCATTGTGTAGAGATATCTTAATTCTAACAGTGTATTGTTTTGTCAAACATAAAAATGTATTTTGAATTTTTTTTTTATACATTTCTTTGAAATAAATGCCGTTTAGTCTGATATTTTATCATATAATGTCATGAATTGATACACTTTTAAGTGTGGTTTAGAATCCAAATAACTTTTTGCATGAATGTACAGTATATTTAGTTGCAAAACAAGCACTGTGTCTGTCGATCAAATGTGACTGTCTCAAAGACTCAAAGTGTGTTGTGGTTTACATATGTCCCTCCGGTCTGAAATAATAGGAGCTCTGTTCTGTATCTATAAATACAGATAATTGGTGGACTCTCCCACCTCCCTTCCCATACCTCCCAAGGAAAAAACACTGGAATTAGACTGGCTTCAAGTTAGTTATCAGACTCCCCGCAGTGTTTGAATGCTCACCCACACATTTAATCCTCCTGATTATTACACGGGCCGCCCATGTGTGACGGGCAAAAGTTTAGCCCAAAACACATTTATGCAGGTGGGGAAAGCATAACGTAGACTCGTTTCAGGGGAAGAAGTCAGATGTTATAGAGTGATGAAATCTTTCTTTTATTTATAGAATAACTAAACTAGTTCAGCCAAGGTACGAGAGCACATCGTCTGAAGGAGATGAAAGAGAGCTTTCATTGAAAAGGGGAAGCCCTGATTTGAAAAATGACCTGTGACTTCGTGTGTAACCGCAGATGTGACACAGTGGCCTGCACGTCTTTAAATCCAGGAGTCTTTTGAATGATGTAGAGATTACATTGCTATGATTTGCTTTCATATTCTTACCAGCAGGAAGGATGGAGGAGGATGTGTTTTGAGTTTGAGTCTGTGGTTTTTAAGTGCACTTCATATGATCCATTGAGGGTGTTTCTTCAACTATGGGCCTTTTTGGCCCTTACTGTTTTTCGAAATAAAATTAAATATCATTACATATAAATTTTTGGTTTATTGACAATTTCCAACAGTTGTTTCTGTAAGTTTTTTTATCTGAATGTAAATTAAAAAATAAATAAAACAACTAGCATTATGTATTCTAATTTTATACAATTAAATAATATTTTCTCACTTTTGCACAATTGGAAATTACAGCTTGATTAGAATTGACACACAATAAAAATATTATTTTCATCTGCCAAATTATATTAACCTTGATTTTTTTTTTCAAGCATGCTCTGATAATGTTGTCTCCTTGGTAACAAAATATACCATCAAACATCATTAGTTTTTATTTATCAAAATAAATTGATTTGTTTCATTAAATTAACTCATTTGTGTAAAAATGACTATAATGTATTCTCACAAAATAAAATTAAAAAAATGCTTCATGATTATAGTTTAAAAAAAAATATAAATATAAAAATATATATTTTTCTGATGGATTTTTAAGACTGAACATCTGGGCCGGGAACAAGGGTAAAACAAAATCTGTGCAAAGGAGACATTTGAAAAGCAAAAATAAGTGATAAAAACATTTTTAATGTGATCTTAATATAACAAAAAGAAATTAAAATGTTAGTTTTAATAAAAATCAATCCCTGGCATATAAAAGTATTTTTAGTTGCAACAAAGTTGAATGTTTTCTTAACCTGAAGGTTAGGAGCTCTAGATATTTTTGCTGAGAATGCATTATTTTCCCTTTTGTTTTGCTTTTCAGGAAACTCTCGGCCTTATATATACAGATAGGCAGGTGCTTTTGAGCTACAATTCGATATTATAGTACTTTAATTTAATGGAGTGCATTCAGAAGCAGCAGATGCATGCTGAGATGATATCTTTAAAGGGCATCAATGCAGAGATCTCAATGTTTCACCCTCTATGCAAGCCGAACGCCTGAGGCTGTGTCTCTTTAAAGCAGGAAACTCTCTGAAAGGAGTTGGCTGAAAATGCCAGCCACTCAAGACAGCGCCATGTCTCTGGTGCCGCTCAAGGGATTCGGCTATTAGCTTTCACAAAGACTCCGCTTCAAAGCTCAGGAAAGACACAGAGGCAGCGAACAATCCCTTCCAGAAACAAGAATGTTTTAGTATGGCCGCTGCACGAAATGCTGCATTGTGCCCAGTCAGATAACTATGGATAGGTGTGCACAAACTGGCTAAGTAATTTGGCCCACAATGCAGCATTCTGCACAAGGCACCTTGTTTGTTAAAACCACTTTGAAATTCAACAAAGAAAAGCTGTCGGATGCAATCAGGACGGTGTCTTCAGATGGACAAATGTGTCATTGAACATGGAACATAGCTGTTTCCCTTCAGAAATTCTATCTGTATTTCTCACCCTCTTTCTCCTTTCACTTTTGAATGTGCCAGTCTTTCCGTCTCTCAAAATAACACTGCTTTATTGAGGCACGAGGCAGGGAATTGCACTCATCAAGTGTCCTTTCAGCACATTCCAACTGGGACAACATGACACGCCAGCCCTGCCACCCTTCCCAAAAATAAGCCAGCATATAGTATTTGTGTCTAGACGGGGTTGTGTGCTAGTGGACGCCCACTGAGGAAAGTGAGATGTTTATTGATGTTTTAAAAAGTGGGCACCCAGAGTGATGGATTGCTTTGTAAGTAATCAAATGGTGTGTGACTTAATGTCTTTATGTGCTCTGAGGATGAATGAACTTATAGAAATGGCATATTTTTGGTTCGGAGCAGTAGCAGTAGCAGTTGTTAACAAGTGTTTGTTTTTGAGGGAGGAGAAGACATGTTATGTTGTTTTACATGATCTGAAGTGTTTCTCACAGGGCAGTTTCAGCGCTAGTGAGGATTTATATAGAGTTGCCTCAATGGCAATCATGAATTTTAAAGTGTCTTTTTGTGGCCTATTCTAGCTATATTTTGAGGACGAATGAAAAAAATTGTCTCAAGAAGTTGGCTAAATCGGACAGAACCTAATTTTCTGGATAACCTCAAAAGGAAAAATGCTTCATAAAAGTTACATTTTTTATTCTAAAACATATATAGTTTTTTAAAACTCTGGTTTGGGTTAGTGTTGTATAACTTTGAACTTTCTATTCAACAAAGAATCATAAAAATAAGTTTTCCACATTATAATAAGAAGCAAATCAACGTATTAGAATGATTTCTGAAGGATCAGAGTAATAGCTGCTGAAAATTCAGCTTTACCATCACAGGAATAAATTACATTTTAAAGTATATTAAAAAGGAAAACAGTTATTTGAATTGGTAATAATATTTTGCAGTATTACTGTTTGATTTCTTGATCAAATAAATGCAAAATGGGTTTTTTACCAACCCCATTTGAATGGTTGTGTGTGTGTATGTATAATTATTATTTTATTAAATTTTTTGAAGAAAATTTAAGTGGTTCCTGCATATGGAAAACTTCCTGTCATAATTCTGTCAAATGTTCTGAAGGTTTTAAAGGACATTGTTATATGGTTGCCAAAGCGTTTTCTTAGTGTTTTTTGTAGTTACTTACAAGACCTGGGTGGTTTCCATATGGGTGCTTACTTGCTCAAGTCAGTAAGTAAGTAAAGCCCACCCTCAAGTCTCAATAATATAATGGAGAATATTTAACATTCTTGGTTCAGTTAAGGATTTTATCTTATCCTCAAGGCAGAAATCTTAAAGGGTTAGTTCACCCAAAAATGAAAATTAGGCTGCGTTTTACTCACCCCCGAATCATCCTAGGTGTATATGACTTTATTCTTTCAGACGAATCCAGTCGGAGTTATATAAAAAAATTGTCTTTGATCTTTCAAGCTGTTTAATGCCACTCAGCGGGTGTTGCATTGCTTCAGTCCAAAAGAACTTAAATAAAAATCGCCCATCCATAAAAAAAAAGTGTCTCACATGCTCCGGGGGGTGAACAAAGGCCTCCTGTTGTGAATCGATGTGTTTTTTGTAAGAAAAATATCCATATTCAAAACATAACAATCACTTTAATGTAGCTTGCGCCAACAGTTGTACACAGAAGTAGTTCCGGGAGCATGACGTATGAGGTCAGAGCTGCGCATGCATCTCGTGAAAAAGTTTCCTTACTTTAGCAAAGGAAAACCAGTCTCCTCTTGGCTTATATCGAAATCCTCTGACATTCTTCTTTACAAATCCTTGTTTTGTACTTCTAATTCTTTCCTCGTGCGTCACTTCTGAGCGGTGCATGCGCAAAGCCGACCTCATACGTCATTCTCCCAGAACTGCTTTTGTTTACAACAGTGAGCGCAAGCTAGATTCAAGTGATTATTACGTTTTGAATATGGATATTTTTCTTACAGAAACGCATCGATTCGCTACAGAAGGACTTTGTTCACCCCCCAGGAGCCGTGTGAGAGACTTTTTTTATGGATGGGTGATTTTTATTTAAGTTCTTTTGGACTGAAGCAATGCAACACCCGCTGAGTGGCATTAAACAGCTTGAAAGTTCAAAGACAATTTTCAATATAACTCCGACTGGATTCGTCTGAAAGAAGAAAGTCATATACACCTAGGATGCCTCGGGGGTGAGTAAAACGCAGCCTAATTAAAATTTTTGGGTGAACTAACCCTTTAAGTCTGAGCACTTAGAGAAGTAATAGCACATCTCTTCTCAACAATCCACATGATTTGTGGCATCATTCAGTCCATAATGGGACGAGTTACATGCTGAAGTCTAATTAGGGGTTTGGACACTTTAACAACAATATCTTGTTATTGCATCTAAATATGTTTTTATTCTGCAGGCACTGCCATAGCTCAGCTGACGGATGTTTCCAGTCTGGAGCAGTGTGAGGGTGATGGGCGCAGCACAGTGTTTAGCGACAGGACTGGCATGGTGAAAGCTGCTCGCATGCTGCTCTCCTCTGTTACCAAAGTCCTGGTGCTTGCAGACTGCATCGTTATCAAACAGATCATAAGCTCTCGCAACAAAGTACGTATTTTCTGCTGGGTCCAAGTACTTGTGCACTGGCCTTTACAAGCAACTCAAAATGGCACTCATCTGTTCCTGTCAAGTACAAGTGTACACAGGCGCACACACAGGCTGCTCGTTGCTCTCAGATGCTATCGCTGCATGGCCACATATTTAGAGTCCTCCTCTTTTGGAGATAATTGAAGAGACATGGCATAGGATAAAGTAGGAGGCCAACATTCATGTCGGTGAGATGAGGAAGTGGGCATTGTTAATGTGTGTGCGTGCCTGTTTGTGCTCTCAGATCTGGAGTTAATCATGTTCAGTTAGTGATGTTTGGATGGCCAGGCAGCAGAACAGCTCTCCATTTGAGAGAAACACAATTGAATTTGTCCCTGACCATGCCTGATAATGCCCACTCCTAGCTAGCTAACTGCAAATAGAGGCTTCCCTTATCAATTTTCTCCAATGCGAGTGTTTGGACTGCTTCCACTGAGCCTATCAGTACATATAAGAGTTCCTACACATAGTAACACTTTGCTCTTTAAGCACAGTTTCTGCGTGTGTGCCTCAGCATGTATGACCACTACTAATATGTAACTTAAACATGGTATGGGGGTTTAAGAATTTAAGACTATTTTTCTTGTTTAAGAAACTTTGCCTTGTTTCCCAAAAAATTAAAAAATAAATAAAATTATTAAACTATTGTAACTGTTATAGCTGTAGCTGGTGTAAGACAAAAAATGTTGGAAATCATGTTGACATGTGAAAGTAAAATCACAATATCTGATTTGATATCTCAATTGTTTTTCTATACACTGAGATTACATGGAGCAAATTCTTCTTCTATTTTTAGTCACTTACTTCTCAGATCCCAAGTAAACTAAAGACTTTTGTAAGAGATCTCAACAGCTTCACACACTGTGCTCAGATTTGCCACAGTGGCTCTATGCTCTTACTGTATATCAACAGTTGACTCAGTTGAGTCTATTTTTATTTCTTAGGACAGATATCTGAGATAAAGCTCATTCCTAAATAAAACACATCTTATGAAAGCATCCTTTATGCAATACTTTTTTTCTCATTTCTCAGGGCTGTAGCTGAGAAAGACATGGGTTTTATGTATGTGTGCAGGTGCTGGTTACCCTGGAGCAACTGGAGAGAGTCAGCACTTTTCAGGAATTTGTCCAAATCTTCAGCCAGTTTGGGAACGAGATGGTAGAGTTTGCCCATCTCACAGGAGACAGACAGAATGTAAGTGGCCTCAGACAGACACACACACACACACACACACACATTCCTGCTCACCCTCCATCTTTCCCTCACTTCACTTTACAGATAATCAAACACTGATAAGGACACTTCCTATGGCAGATGTGTATAGCCCATGTAGATTTATACGTTGGATGAGGGGAGAAGGGGAAGATAATGAAGTCATTTTAGTTATAAGAACTGAACTGTGCTACACACTGCAGTTTCAATCAGCAGCTCTCAAATCCCACCGATAAAAACCTTTGGGGTAAGATACACTCAATCGCAATGCAGAACAGATGGTTGGAGCGAAACGCTAGTGGTGCTTATTAACAGGAATTTTACATTTTAAGGCTCATACCAGAGTGTGTTTGCAGTGCAGAAACATATGCAAGATCAAGGAATTGAACTGTGTTTATAAATTAATGTTTTCCTGTTGGGTGGAGATTAGATATGGGTTTGCCAAAAGCTGATGCTGATGTTGATATCTAGAGCAAGAGTTTTTAAACTGGGGTCTGCATGGGGCTGCTAATGGATTTGCTCAAAATTTGAGAGAAAAAGAAGTAAAAAGGTTTTACTGTTTTAAGGGCCATTTACAAGAACATGGTTTTTATTATGGGTTAGAGCATCATGTCATATGAGACTCTGCGAAAAATGCAAACGCAATGGTCAAGCGTCGATGTAGCATGTTTACGTAGAAAAACAATGGAAAAGTTGCGCAGTGGAATGGAAAATGTGTTCTATGTGGGAATAAGGACCCCCTTATTCTACTGTCTGAAGACTGGACATCTTCATTAATTGCTTTAATTGTGATTAATTTTAAAGAATAAAAACTACCTTTTAATTTAATCATATGGACCACCATTGTTTTTAAGTACTAATTGAAAACAAATCTTATAGTGTTATGATTTTTTTTTTTATGAATAATTTTTTTTATGAATATTCTTAGAAATGTTTAGAAGTGTTAATTTCTTCTTTGTTGCTATGCAGTTTATACTTGTATGCTATAAATTTATACAAATAAATTTGAATGGAATTCAGAATATTTATCTTCAGATTAATACATGTACTCTAAGAGTTGGTAGAAAGAAGATAGTTTAATACAAATATTTTTCAGATAAAATTTATTTAGTAAATAGTATAATTTGTTATTTTTTTAGTGAAATGACAATATAAAGGCCAATTAATTTATTTTGCAAATTACATTGTCTTTATAATATTATACTTACTATATAGACTTAAGGGTCTTTATACCCTTTATATGGGAAATATAAAGTGTGTGTGTATATATATATATATATATATATATATATGTATATATATAT